TGATTAATCAAATTTTTCAGTTTCTATAATTTAAATTAATGATTTTAATTGAATATGTATTTAAAGGTAGTTCTGATTGATAAACTGAAAATTCCTTCAACAAATCTCTTCAAAATTATGAGTGTAGGGCATTTGATAGAAAATAAATTTTACATTTTGAATGTTAGTACATTAAAAATTAATAGAAACCGCTGCTGTTTGGAACAATTTCCCGCAGTTTAACGGTACTTAAGCCCGGCTCGTTAGTCATTCTAGCGGTAATACGGTCGCAGATCGTAGGTTGACTGCCTAGACGCTTAGTGAGGGTACCTTTAGCAGAGCGTTATTAGGTGGAATAGGCCAAACGGGCGACTGTAAGTCCGGCAGTGTATTACCCCTGTATTTACCACTGTTCCAGTTATCGGTTAATCGTCAAGTTCGACTCCTCAGGTATCCTTCATCACGAAGAGTTCGTGGTGAAGCTGAGGGGCGAATCTTGGCGTTTAATCGGTGGCTGGGGTAATGTTAAATGCGGGTTTTTTGCACTTTTTCGCAGTAAAATTTTGTAACATTAAAATTGACGCCCAATTTTTATTTACTGCATCATTACGTAGTTTCTGCATTAATTTCTACTAAATTATGATTTAATAGTCTACCAGCCTGAAGGGGTGGGTCGGAATTAAATAGTTACGTTTGTTTTAATAAAAGCTAATCAAAAATTTATTGTTAGGACTAGTACTCCATTATACTTAACTGTCATTTTTCTTTACATTTTTCGATTAAATACTTAATAAAAAAATCAACACTTTATTTATGTATAAATTTCACTTACAATTTTGTTTTTCATAATAAAGTGTTACTTTGTTTAGTAGAATTTGGGGGTGGAGGTTAATTTTAGAATTTAGCGAACCTAGTTTGAAAGTTCTTTCATTATTCGAAAGCTAAATCATTATCCTGTTGGCCACAGGATTTTTATTATTTATTATAAGTGTTTTCTGTAGTTACGAAGAATTCTTCCGAGCGTATGTTTCTTTCCTCTGCTTTCCGAATACTTGCTCTCTTCAACACTGACTGTCTTTAATGCTTTTAATATAAATAACGATTAAATATTAATTTCAAAAGTTAATACGTTATTCATGTATGAATTGAACTCACAATTTTGTTTTCATAGTAATATTACAAAGAGAAAGTGTTATTTTGTTCATTTAGTTGGGAAATGGGGCTGGAGGGTATAGGAAATGGAGCTGGAGGATAATTTCAGGATTTAGCAAACCGAGCTTGAAAGTTCATCTATTATTCGAAAGCTAAATCATTATCATGAGGGTCATAGCCTTTCTTTACTATTTAAATATAATAAAGTTTCTTTTGTAGTTGCGAATAATTAAGCCTTTTCCGAGCGTATGTTTCTTTCCTCTGCTTTCCGAATACTTGCTCTCTTCAACACTGACTGTCTTCAGTGCTTTTAATATAAATAACGATTAAATATTAATTTCAAAAGTTAATACGTTATTCGTGTATGAATTGAACTTACAATTATCCTTTTCATTGTAATATTACAAAGAGAAAGTGTTATTTTGTTCATTTAGTTAGGAGGTGGGGGTGGAGGGTAATTTCAGGATTTAGCAAACCGAGCTTGAAAGTTCATTCATCATTCGAAAGCTAAATCATTATCATGGGGGTCATAGCCTTTCTTTACTATTTAAATATAATAAAGTTTCTTTTGTAGTTGCGGAGAATTAAGCCTTTTCCGAGCGTATGTTTCTTTCCTCTGCTTTCCGAATACTTGCTCTCTTCAACACTGACTGTCTTCAATGCTTTTAATATAAATAACGATTAAATATTAATTTCAAAAGTTAATACGTTATTCATGCATGAATTGAACTTACAGTTTTGCTTTTCACAGTAATATTACTAAGAGAAAGTGTTACTTTGTTCATTTAGTTAGAAGATGGGGGTGGAGGGTAATCTCAGGATTTAGCAAACCGAGCTTGATGAGTTCGTGGTGAAGCTGAGGAATGTTCAATGCGGGTTATTTGTGCTTCTTCGTAATAAAATTTTGTAACTTTGAAATTAAACCTCAATTTTTATTTACTGCGTGCAACTCTAAAGATGCCGTGGGCCTTTTTTAATATCTTATGATCATCGAGTTTATTCGTTCACGTTTTAGAGTATTTTCTGCAAACTAAATGAAGCTGTAGAGGTATCTCAGGTTATAACGCAATGATTCTTATCAAGTAGTCCCTTGATAAATTGATAGTGTTTTACTATACAATTTTATCCGTAACATTATAACTTCAAGACTCGTTGAACTCGCCGACCTTTTCCTTTGTCTTTGCATTTATGAAGGGTACCAAATCGATACTTATTTACTTGCATTAGAGAGTAAAGATGTACTCTATGTTAAACAGTGTAACGGTCGGCCTTCCTATCCAAATAGTTTTTACTGAAATCGAACGTGGGCGGCTTCGAAACAATGTATCGATAGTAATAATTGATTTTCTTAGTACGTCAGGTTGAAGCGATGCGGCACTTTCCACTTTTAAATTGATGTATGTATACGTACAGAGAGTCAGTTATAATACATGTGCTTACATTACATTACAGCGCATTTCGCTTTCACATTGAACATGCTGGCGTACTTGATAGGTGTAGTAGAGCATACTTACCATACACGTATGCATAGCATTAAAGTCTCTTTCTATGTTTGCTTGTTACGTAACTTTTAATTAACCTTTTGTCGAACAGCTTCCATGTTTGTTTAAATGGGTGTAATCAGAAACGAAGTGGCCCACTGGCAGCCTAACTTCATTATAACGAAATCCTAAAATTTTGGCCTACTTATTAACGATTATATCTGGTAGAAACTATGACCACTAGCTAAGACCATCACTTAACACTTTCTCTCGTAATGTCTTTGATAATTAGAGACCCATCAGCGTATTTGTAGCGGCACCAGTAAAATTTTTGCGCTATCTTTAATAGTTCGCCAGATATGTTTTCCTAAACAATTAATCCTCAATTTCGAAAATAACACTTGGCTAAAACTTCCGACAGCCATAACTCCGAGACGGAACCTCGTAGATGGACGCTTTTACTCTTGACGCAGAGCCCAGTATCTCTAGAAAATTTTGATGGTGCTCCCATAGAGATCGGACCACCCAGTCCGAAAATATGAGCCATCCTGTGGACTCAGGAAAACACCAAAACGCAGGATAGGGTAAATTGCGCGAATTTGGTCGGCTCTAACGCGGACCAGGAGTGTCACAATATAAAACTGCTTGCGTCGAAAACTTGCCGCATTCATTGGGCTTCGAACGAGCCCATTCTGGTACGGATCGGACTTGCGTCTGCGGAGCTATGGATTTTTAACCGCGGCCATGTTCGCGAGTGCGCAGCTCCTGAGTCCTTTCTTTACTATTTAAATATAATAAAGTTTCTTTTGTAGTTGCGAATAATTAAGCCTTTTCCGAGCGTATGTTTCTTTCCTCTGCTTTCCGAATACTTGCTCTCTTCAACACTGACTGTCTTCAATGCTTTTAATATAAATAACGATTAACTATTAATTTTAAAAGTTAATACGTTATTTTTGTTTGAATTAAACTTACAATATTCTTACGGGATGTTTGATGCATTTGTTACAAAATTGGGATTGTCCAGTTTTATAACAATAATATTTAATTGATATTAAAACTAGTTGTTCTGTTTGTTAGGTATATGATTTTGATTTGCCTTTATTTGTTATACAATTGTCTTACCTAGTTCGTAAATGTTGAATTCGACTTTTACCATTTGTACTAAAAAAGCCGCAGTTATAAACAATCCTCCTGCCATAAAAAAGAGATTCAAAAAAGTTCTCCAATAGATCCAGCGGAACCTTAAATCGAATACTTTGTCATATAAAAGCCCTTCTAAAGGTACCACTCCGAAAAATCCACCGAGCAAAAGTAAACCCTTTAGCGATTGATAAAAATTTTCTTGATTTTTTGCTACCATTTTTTCATTTAACGTTAATCCAATTTACTTGCCACGATTGTCTATGTGCAATGGACTGTATGCAGTTATTGATGTTTAAAAAGAAAGTGGTAACGTAGGGGTAATGCAAACAAATAGACGTACCCGGAAAAATATTTACAATGTTGAGGCAATATCCGAATTGATTTTGCTATCAGTAAATAATTTTGTGTTTAACTACCATTTTATTTCATGTAACCTACTTGCTTTTAACGATTTTTTTATTAGCTACGTTTTATTTTTTTTAAGTACAGTACAAGTTACAATAATATATTTATTCTCACCCTGCTTCAAAAATATATCGTATTATAGAAAAAATTGTATGTGACCCTAGGAAAGAAAGTTCGACACCCTGTCCAAGGAGTTCTGGTAGGGTGGATATTCAAATTCTGTAGGGAATGCTGCATTTTTTCCCTTGGGCATAACATATCTACTGTTATTTTTTGGTAAAACTGTACTAGCAATAACAGAACAATAGTAATACATTAGTTATTAATATCTACTTAAAGCGAAAGTCATAAATGTTGCAGTTATTTTATTTTTTTGGTTTCAAATCATTTTGGAACTTTTTCGGCAAGTACCATCAAGTGTTTTGACAATGGTAAAATATGAAGTAAACTAAGAAGGCATTTAGATAAAAAACAAAACATTTATTGCAATTAGCGATCGATTAATACAAAACTTTAAGAACTTTTTACATACATCCCCTAGTAATTTTTCATTTCAAATGGCGTAATAACTAATTATGTTTAATTGGGTGTACTTAGTTATTTATTATATCGTACATAACATCTTTTTAACGTAAATATTTTCATTTAATTTATCATATTCTGTAGAAAAAAAACATATAGATTAGGAATAGCATTTGGATGTTTTTATTAGAATCTTTACTATGTCATGAACATATTATTTCGGTTTTATTCGGCTTAGAATTTTGTTGTTTAATCAACTTCGTGAATGAATATATCTTGCCATGGGTTTTTTTCAGTTTGAATCATCGGACACGACCTTAGTTTTCATGTAACATTGTAGAAGACACGGTCGGTTCTGATTTTGTTTAATTATTAAATATTATGAACTATTTCGGTTAATTAAAATGTGATTTTGAGTATTTTCCGTTGTGCGTATAGTGCTGGAGGTTAACAGGTGCTTATTTAAACTTTAAGGACTGTCTGCAGTGGTCAAAAACTTCTAAGTGTTAAAGGAATGTGAAAGGATATTTAAGGATATTTATCTCAACTTCATTCTCGGATACGACAGAAAAAAGGTAGAAATTTTACTGTTTCGTCACTGTTAGGCTTTTTTTTTTCGTACAAGGATAATGTATGATTTTTGTTTTATCCTTATTCCATAATATACCCCTTCGATTGGCATTTGCCGAGCGTAATTTTCTATCCTTTGTTTATCGAATACTTGCTCTTTCGGACAACTGGACGACCGGTAGGAAATATAAAATTTTGATCGTTTTACTACAAATAACAATTATTTTGTTTTAAAAATTAATAATATAATATTTTAGTGCTAATTAAATTTGAACTTATCTAAATTACGTTTTAATTTACAAAAACAAACAAAATACAAATAGGTACTCAAACATTGGAGTGGAATTATACTGAATTAAACCGCGAATTTCTTTTTATTTTGTCAAATAACAATGCATACTTCAATTAAATATTAAAAGGGAAGCATGATTAATCAAATTTTTAAGTTTCTATAATTTATATTAATGATTTTAATTGAATATGTATTTAAAGGTAGTTCTGATTGATAAATTGAAAGTTCCTTCTACAAATCTCTTCAAAATTGTAGGTGTAGGGTATTCTGTAGAAAACAAATTTTATATTTTGAATGTTAGTACATTAAAAATTAATAGAACCCGTTGCTGTTTGGAACAATTTGCCGCAGTTTAACGGTACTTAAGCCCGGCTCGTTAGTCATTCTAGCGGTAATACGGTCGCAGATCGTAGGTTGACTGCCTAGACGCTTAGTGAGGGTACCTTTAGCAGAGCGTTATTAGGTGGAATAGGCCAAACGGGCGACTGTAAGTCCGGCGGTGTATTACCCCTGTATTTACCACTGTTCCAGTTATCGGTTAATCGTC